GTCGCCGCCGGCTGGCGTCGACTACGACCTGTGGGTCGGTCCCGCCGAATGGGCGCCCTATCAGGCGAACCGGTTCCATTCCGATTGGCACTGGTGGCATAACTTTGGTACGGGCGATATTGGCAACGACGGCGCCCACGAGATCGACTACGCCCGTTGGGGACTCGGCGTCGATTCGCTGCCGTCGCGTGTGATGGCGATTGGCGGCAAGAGCTTCTACGACGATGACCAGCAATGGCCCGACACCGCTACCTGTGCTTGGGAGTATGACATCCCTGGCGGCAAGCCGAAGCAACTCGTTTTCGAGATGCGGCTCTGGTCCACCAACTACCCGATGAACTGCGATTCGGGCGTCGAGTTCTACGGGACCGAGGGCCAGATGTTCCTCAGCAAGCGTGGCAAGTTGCGGGTCCTCGGGCCGCGGAACGCAAAGATTGAAGAGGCCGCTTTCGGTCGTGAGCGGGGCTTCGCCCACTTCGACAACTAGNNTCCGCGGAGCCGCGAAGCCTAACGCGCCGATGATCGACGCCCATCGCAGCGTCGCTGCGATTCACTTAGCGAACGCCGCGATCCGCTCTGGTGCGTCGTTCGACTTCGATCCCCAGAACGAGACGATTGTCGGCGACAGTCCGGCGAAAGAGTTCCTGGCTCGCCGCTACCGCGCGGACGGCCACTGGGCGATCCCGGAGAACGCATGATGCGGTTAGTTCTAATTCTACTCACCGCGCTTCTCAGCGCGGCGCCTCTATCGGCTTCCGCAGCGAGCGGCTGGTCGGTCGAAGAGGCGGATGGCGCGTTGCGAGTCAGTTGGCAGAAAACAGCGGTCGCGCGATACGTCTACGACGATCCGAAGATCACGCGGCCGTACTTCTGTGACCTCTGTTCGCCGGCCGGTGTTCAGGTGACGCGGAATCATCCGCCGCTCGCCGACGCCGATCGGATGGACCATCCCGAGTTCCACCCCGGCGTCTGGCTGGCGTTCGGCGATCTCAACGGCGCGGACAACTGGCGTTTGAGAGCGAGAGTTGTTCACGGTGCTTTCATCGCCCGAGCAACGCAGCAACCCAACGGACCCCTGAGTTTCATTGCCGAAAATCACTATCTCGACGCGGACGGAAAGCTGATCTGCAAGAGCAACGCTCGTCACACGCTCGAAGTCACGCCACGCGGATTGCTCGTCACCTATGACGAGACTTTTTCTTCGGAGGAGGTATTCGTCTTCGGAGATCAAGAGGAGATGGGTTTCGGCGTTCGCTTGGCCACTCCCCTGCGTGTCGAACTTAGCGGGCCCGACCCAGCGCCTCCGGGAACGGGAGAGATGGTCGCCGATGGCGGCCGCCGCGGTTCGACAGAGATCTGGGGCCAGCCCGCCAAGTGGCTCGACTACCGCGGCCAAATCGATGGCGAACCCGCAGGCGTTGCCATCTTCTGCCACCCCGACAACTTCCGCCCTTCGCGGATGCATGCCCGCGACTACGGCTTCGTCTGCGCCAATCCCTTCGCAACCGCCGCCTTTAAGGGCGGCGACCCTAGCCGCACGGTCGTACGGCCTGGCGAATCGCTACGGCTCCGTTACGCGGTGCTCTGCCATAGTGGCACGGTGCTGAACGAGTCGCAACTCGATGCGGCTTACAAGCAGTACGCCGATGGTGCTGAGGAGTAGTCGAAAGAACCGATGGAGGGGATGCAATCGATCGACTGGGCGATGCTGCCGATCTATCTGATCGGCGTGACGGCGCTCGGCATGTGGACGGCGCGGAAAGTAAAGTCGTCAGGCGACTTCTTCATGCCGCGGCGCTTCGGCAAGGCGATGATGATTACTTTCGCCTTCGGAACCGGCACGTCTTCCGATCAGGCGGTGTCGGTGGCGTCGAGGACAATCACCAACGGCCTCTCCGCCATCTGGTGGCAATGGCTTTGGCTTCCGGCGACGCCGTTCTACTGGCTTCTGGCGCCTATCTTCCGCCGCTTGCGAGCGACAACGACGGCCGATGTGTACGAGTTGCGTTTCGACCGCAGCGTGGGCGTCCTTTTCGCGATCGTCGGAGTCATTGGCCTTTCCGTGAAGATCGGCTTGTTGCTGAAGGGCGCCGGCGCGATGGTCGACTCCTGCACGGGCGGTGTCATCGACGCCAATTGGGCGATCGCTGTCACGACGGTCTTATTTCTTGTCTACGGTATGGCAGGGGGGCTCGGCGCCGCGGTTGTGACGGACTTTGTCCAAGGCCTGATGACGATTCTGTTTTCATTCCTGCTGTTGCCCTTCGTGCTACAAGCCACCGGCGGCATCGCCGGCATGCGCGAGACGGTCGCCGCCCACGACCCCGCAATGTTGTCGCTCGTGGCCCCACAGACGATTGGACTGTTTTTCATCACGATGTACTCCATCCAGGCGCTGGTGGGCATCGTGGCCCAGCCGTTCATCATGGGCGTCTGCGGCGCCGGCCGGAACGAGATGGACGGCCGCGTCGGCTTCATGGTCGGCAACATCGTCAAACGCGTTTGTACGATGGCCTGGAGTCTGACGTCGCTCGCCGCTGTCGCGTGGCTCTTAAATCGCGGCGTCGAACTTTCCACCGTGAAGCCCGATCACTTGTATGGCGAAGTCGCCCGGGCGTTCTTGCCAAGTGTCTTTCCCGGGCTACTCGGCGTGTTCCTGGCTTGCCTGTTGGCGTCGATCATGAGTTCGTGCGACGCAATCATGATTAGCGCGTCGGCTCTGTTTACTCAGAACCTCTACCGCCCGTTGGCGCCCGACCGGCCCGACCGCCACTACATGAACGTCGGCCGCATCTCCGCTGCCGGGGTCGTGGCGATCGGCGTCGCGTTTGCTTATTGGGTGCCGTCGGTTGTCGAGGCTCTCGACATCTGGTTCAAAGTGGCGCCGCTGGTGGGTATACCGTTCTGGATCGGTCTCTTCTGGCGAGGCGCGACTCCTGCGGGGGCATGGGCGAGCGCCATCGGCGCCATCGTGACATGGCGACTGGCGACGCTGCCGAGCGTAGCGACTTGGATGGCGGGGTCCCCAACGCTTGTTGAGTGGGGCGTTGTCAAACCGAGTGAAGCGGACGCTGCTGTGAACGACGCATGGCTGATCCTCGCTTACCTCGTTGTTGGCGTCGTCTCCTGTGTGTTGGTGAGTCTTGTCACCGAGCCGACCCCGGATGAGAAACTCAATCGCTTCTACACCCTGACGCGGACGCCGGTGCGAGAAGACGAGGTGGTCGAGGCGCCCTGCACGCTGCCGGTCGGCGCTCCGCCGCCCAACCGCCGCATGCTCGTCACGAGTTGGGGTCTCGATATCCCGGCGCCATCGACGACCGCCGTGGTGGGCTTCTTGGCGGGCTGGGTGATGGTCGCGGCGCTAGTCGCCGGGTTTATGCTGATGGTTGGCTAATCTTCTCTGCTGCGGAGTCCTCCGATGCCAATACGCTACTCGCTCATGATTGCGCTCGCGGTTGTCGCTGCTCTTACTGTCGGGGCGACGGCCATTGAGGTTCAAACTCTACGCTGCGAGCAGCTAAACAACCCTCACGGCATTGACACCCCGGCTCCACGGCTCAGTTGGACGTGCCGATCGAAGACTCGCGGAGACAAACAGACGGCCTATCGCGTCCTCGTCGCTACGACCGCTGAGAAGCTCGCTACGGGCGCCGGTGACGTATGGGATAGCGGGAAGGTGGAAACCGATGATAGCGTGCTGGTTCTCTACGGAGGTCGCCTGCTGCGGAGCCATGAGCGGCTGCATTGGAAGGTCTGCGTCTGGGACGCCGCCGGCGAGCCGTCCGCATGGAGCGACCCCGCCGACTGGTTGATGGGTGTCCTCGGTGAACAGCGTTGGAATGCCCAATCGTGGGAGGCGCAGTGGATCGGTAAGCCGGTCCCCGATCGAGAGAGATTCCTCAGCGACGCACAATGGATTTGGTTTGACGAAGGCGACCCGCGTAAGTCGGCGCCGCTCGGCCACCGCTGGTTCCGCCGTACGTTCGAGCTGCCCGCGCAGGCGATTGTGACCGGCGCGGTATTCCGTATCACCGCTGATGATCAGGTCGATATCTATCTCAACGGCCGCTTGATGGGATCGCGCAGCGGGCATACTTCGTTGAAGGAACTCGACGTCACGCACCTCTTGCGAGCGGGTCGTAACGTCATAGCCGCCCGCGCCGAGAATCGTGGTAACGCCCCCAATCCTGCCGGCATGGTTGCTTGGTTACAAGCCGAACTCGCCGATGGATCGAAGGTGACGGTGACGAGCGATAGGGATTGGCGTTCCCACAACGAAGAGGTCGCCGGGTGGGAGCGGTTCGACTTCGACGACGGCGCCTGGCCCGCAGCGAGAGTGCTCGCCGAAGTGGGCGCCGAGCCGTGGGGGCAAGTGCGATACGCCGAGTCACGCCGCTTGCCGGCCCGCTATCTGCGGAAGGAATTCAAGCTCGGTAAGCCCGTCGTCCGCGCGACGGTGTCGTTTGCCGGGTTGGGCCTTTCCGAACTCTTCGCCAACGGCGAACGCGTCGGCGATCAGGTGATGTCCCCCGCGATGTCGCAGTACCCCGAACGAGTCTATTACATCACGCGCGACGTGACCGACGCATTGAGACAAGGCGACAACGCATTGGGCGTCACGCTCGGCAACGGCCGCTTCTACTCGCCACGCAGCGACGTGTACGCCGGCATGCCGAACTACGGCTCGCCGACGCTGCTCTTGCGCCTAACCGTCAAGCATCCCGATGGCACGACAACCGTCGTCACCAGCGATGATTCTTGGCGGCTGACCGATGAAGGGCCGATCCGGGCCAACAACGAGTACGACGGGGAGAGCTACGACGCCCGCCGCGAATTGGGCGACTGGTCAAACGCCGGCTA